ACCGAGTTTGAGAACCTCTGTCAGCCATTCTTGGGTCCCTACTGTGTGCCTATGGCCATGTCTGGGAGGGCTGTGCCCAAGCTCAGAAAGCTTGCCCAGAGCTTAAGGCACTTATCCTGCCCCGAGGCCTCTGAGCACGTTTGCAGGCTGGCGCACCACGGGTCTTACCCACAGAGTCATATTTAAATTAGGAAATTTCATTTTGGCATCTGGGTTTCCAGATTCTCTTGGAAAATGGGAAGATCTGGCCCTCCTGAGCTCACATTTCCCAATGGCAATAATCAGCTGGATCTGATGTGGCTTCATTTTTTGGTGCATCACCTGCTTGGCCCCTGAAAGCATTTGAGTATGAGACTCCTTGACGTGATGGTAGGGGAGTCCAGGCCAGGGCATCTTGAATTTTAACATGCACACACATGCCCTGGGGTCTTGGCAAGTGCAGATTCTGATCCAGTAGGGCAAGTGGGGCCTGAATGTTGTGTGTCTAAGAGGCTGCGAGAGGATGCTGATCTGGGGGGTCCTTGGTGCCGTACTTTGAGTAGTAAGCCGAAGGCCTCCATTCTCAAACTTTTGCGTGGCCCAGAGTCTCCTGGGGGTGCTGTTCAAACCCAGAGTTTCCAATTCAGGAGGTCTGGGGTAGGGCCTGAGGATTTGCCTTTCTGACCAGTTCCCAGGTGTTTTGGCTGCCGTGGGGCTGGGAGCAGACTCCAGGAGCCATTGTTCTCAACTATGTGCTGTGCACTTGACCCATTGGCCCTCACCTGGGGTGAGGGTGCTCCGAGGTCCCCCAGATGGCCGGATGTTTTTTCCCTCTGAGGTCAGACTCCTTGACACTCAGCTGTTGCCAAGGGAATAAGGTTTTTTGTTGACTTCTTGGGGCAATTGTCTCTTTGAGCAGACCCAAGTTCAAACCCACTATTTAAAGACGTAGCGGGAGGCCCGGAGAACGTTCTGTCCTTGTGTTGCAAACCTCTTCCCCATTCCAAGGAGTTCTGATCTGTGCATCTCACAACACAGGCCACCTGCAGGGAGGTCTTGCATTAGATACCGCAGGGGGGCCCTGCTCAAGCAGATCCGGGCCCCAGATGTGGGGTATTGGGTGGGCCTGGGCCCTCAGCTCCCGGCTTCCAGCCCCAGGCTGTGGCTGCTGTAGCTTCAGGGACATGGGCAGGGCCCTCTCTCTGATCAGGCCGGGCCCTGCGCCATCCACCACAACTGCCTCGAACAAGAATGACCACCCAGGCCAGGGCCAGTTCCCTGAAGTCCTTGAACTTGAGAGGGCTGGCAGCCAGATCTGGATGGGTGAGCTTAGGCAGATCAGAGATTATGAATTATTTAACTCGCTTCCTGGACCCTGGAGAGCAGGGACTCACCGATTTCAGAAGCTCTTTGCATCCAGAAGCCAGAAACCCCTGCCTGCAGCCAGTCCAGGGGTCCAACTCATCAGGATGGCTCCCCAGTGGCCCCCCAGCGGGCAGGTGCATTGGGGAGCCTCGGACAACCCTTGTGCAAACTCTAGCTCTCCTCTCACCAGCTGGGCGACCTTGGGCAGTCAGCTGTGCTCTGGCTGCTGTGACTCCTCGCAGGATTGACTCGAGGGTGAAAGGAGAAGGTGTGGGTAAAGTGCCGTGACCATTCCCAGCACATGTTAGGTGCTCAGCAGACGGTAGCCGCTGTTATCAGCGTAACAGTAGATATTAGTTATGATTATTTAGTTATGTAAACTGTTCTGCCGCAGTCTCCCTCCCATTTTCCTGCAGACTGGCAGACAGAACCTTGCTTATGCTAAAAAAAAAAGCACGTATTTGGCAGCAGCTGTATTCATTTTTATATTCAATTCATATTTAAGTGCCTCCTGTGTGCCAGCCATGATTCTAGGTCAATGCGGCCCAGTATAAATAGAACAAGCCACAAATCTGAGCCACCTAAGCAACTTAAAATTTTCTGATAGCCATATTATTTTTTTTTTGAAAACGAAATAAGACACAGGGGAAATTCATTTAATAATATATTTCATTGAACCCACATATTCAAAGTATTATCAACATTATCTGCGTTTAGAATTACTAATGAGATTTTTAAAATATTCCACACATTTTAAAATGTTTAATTGTGCCAAAAACATAGACCACGAAGCTTACCCCCTTCTCCATGTCTAAGTGTGTGTTACAGCAGCGTTAAGGACACTCACATTGTGCACCCAGTCTCGAGAACTCTTTTCATCCTGCACAATTTTAATATGTTATGTCTCTACTTTTCGTATGGTTTCTTTGAAATCCGAATTGTGTTCTCAGTTGGACTAGTGGAGTTTCCAGCACTCACTAGTTGCCGAGCGTGGTAGTGGCTTCTGTACTGGACAGACCAGCTCCATTACTGGGGTGAAACTGGAAACAAGAGAAGTGTAGTGTGGACCCACAGGGAGTTTAAAACTCCAGTGGTCAGAGACAGCAAATGAATGAAATGAATGAATAGATTAGATAGTCTCCCAGGGCATTAGGTTCTATGGAGAAAGTAAATAGGGCCGTGGGCTGGAGCATTCTGGAGGGGTTGGGGGGGGGTCAGGTCACCTCTGATAGGTGGTGTTGGAGCTGAAGCTTCAAAGAAGAAGCTAGCCCCATGAAGACAGATCCAGGGCGATAGTCCTCAACTCTGCCTGTGTATCAGACACTGTGCAGAAATTTTAAATTAAAAAATTTTTTTAAATGTACAGATGCCAGGCCCTGCCTCCATCCGCAGAGCCATAGGCACTGTGCATAAGGCCCTGGCATTATGTCTTCTAAGTGCTTGGCGAATGACCTGATGCATGGCCAGCTTTCCTGTTCCACTCAGCAGGAGCAGCAAGTGCAAAGGCCCTGAGGTGGAATGACCCCAGCATATTGGAAGAACAGAAATGAGGACAGGAGAAAGGAGTAGGGGGTGAATCTGGAGGGGGCAGGGGCCAGGTTCACAGGCCCTTGAGCCCATGCTAGAACTTTGGGTTTTATTCTTTTTTAAATTTTATTTCTTTATTCATGAGAGACACACACAGAGAAAGGCAGAGACATAGGCAGAGGGAGAGGCAGCCTTCCTGCAGGGAGCCCAGTGTGGGATGTGATCCCAGGACCCCAGGATCATGACCTGAGCCAAAGGCAGACGCTCAACCACTGAGCCACCCAGGTGCCCCTGGGTCTTATTCTAAATGTGACAGGAAGCCATTGCTAGGCTGGTAGGAGGAAAACTAGAAGGTCTTTTTGCCAAAAGTGCTGAACGCTCACTTTTTTCTCTGCCTTATTAAAAAAAAAAAAAGTTTAAGGTACCACAGTATCACCTTTTGCCCTTCACCTGGAAAGAAGGATTTCTAAAGCATCCCTTGGTTGGGGAGGAAACGACTAGCTTCACGCATAAGCATAAACCATTCCTACTTGGGGGCAGCAGGGTGAACTTACAGACCTGGTCATCCCCAGGCCCAGATTCAGGAGGGGGTCTCCCAGTATGCTCACTCCTCACCCCTACTCACCCTCATGCCTACTGCTTACTTCTCCTCTTATGACATATATTGGGCTTCTAGGGCTGCTATGACGAAATACCACAGATTTTTGTGGCTTAACAAAAAAAATTATTTTCTCATGGTTTTTGGAAGCAGGAAGTCCAAAATCAAGGTTGGTTTCCCCGAAGCCTTGGCTGGCAGATGATCGCCTTCTCTCTGTGTCCTCATGTGGTCTTTCCTCTAGGAGTATACCCATCCCTGGTGTTTTTTGAGGTGTCCAGATAAGGAGGCTGGTCAGATTGGCTTAGGGTCTGCCCTCCTGGCTTCATTTTAACTTAATCACTTCCTTAGAGACCATATCTCCAAATACAGTCCCATGCTGAGCTACTGGGGATCGGGGCTTCCACATAGAAATTTTGTGAGAACACAAGTCAACCTATAACATAGCTCAAAGTGGCAGGTGTACAGAGAGGGACCAGGTGCTTCCCACCTCACCTTTTGGCTACAAGCAATGGTGATATTTGGAATGTTTAGGTTTTGAAAGCTACCTTCCAGTTGGAAAGGTCTTCAGCCATAAACAACCCTTGCAAACCAACCAAGGCATAGCAGCTGATTGTCAACCCTGCCCCCCAGCCCTGAAGTCCAGGCATATTTATTGAGCACCTACTGTAGGCAAAGTTCCAAGTTCTTGGGGAAATCTGTCCAGGGACCTCCACACCCAGTAGGATAGATTAGAGAATGATGTGTAGAGCCATGGTACAAAGCAGATGGGACCAAATAAAATAGGAGGGGTTGGTTCACAGAATATTCTGGGTTATGGAGGCAGGAAGATGACTTCCATTCAGTGGGGAGCTGGCCATTTCTTTGAAGACATGCATTAGAGAGACACCTGGGTAGCTCAGTGGTTGAGCATCTGCCCTAGGCTTGGGTCATGATCCCAGAGTCCTGGGATCGAGTCCCGCATCGGCTCCCCGCAGGGAGCCTGCTTCTCCCTCTGCCTGTGTTTCTGCCTCTCTCTGCGTGTCTCTCATGAATAAATAGAATAAAATATTAAAAAAAAAGACATGGCATTAGAGCAGGGTCTGGGGGAAAGGCACCCCAGGGGAGAAGCAGCATGAGTAAACGTGTGCTGATGGGAATATCCGGAGTATCCCTGGCATTCAGCAAGTGGTCCTATTGGACACGGGTATGAGAAGCACAAGAGAAGTTGCTCACAGACACACATCCCCCTCTACATGTGCCAGACACTTCGCAAGAGGCTTCATATTTGCAATTTAATCTCCACACCAATCTACAATGATGTAGGTAATATTCTCCACTTGTTTCACAGATGGTAAAATCAGGTGCACAGAGAGGATAAGTCAATTCTGCAGGGTCACACAGCGAGAAAGTGACAGAGCTGTGATTCGAACTCAGGCTCTTAGCCACTACCCCACGTTGAAGGGAAGTGAGGGGAATAAAAGGAGACGTGTAGGTTGGGGCCGAATGTAAGGCGTCTTCAAAGCCAGCGGAGGGTTTGGCCTTTATTCTGCAGACACCTGGAGCCATTGAAAGTTTCTGAAAGGAATGTGACACAGGTGACACAGGCAGCTGAGCCTCTGGGAAGTACAGTCCCCAAAACGGAATCATTCCTTTACCAAGCCGGGAAACTCCCCTTCCAGCACCTGTCCTTCCTAAAGCAGCCTCGCAGGTAAGAATGTAACCTTAGCAGCCACCCCCATGTTTTCCTCTTTCCCCTAATGATAGCCAGCAGTCAGTCAATGCTGTACCAAGGGCTTTACGAGCATTATCTCATTGTAATCCCCCTGAAAATAAAAGCCCAGTGAGGGCAACCCTACTGCTGACCCCATTCACAGATGAGACAATAGAGGCTCAGAGAGGTAATAGGATGGGTCCAAGGTGCCACCCAAGTCCAAAGTGGGCTCATTCCAAAGTGCACCATTCTGATAATAATAGAATAATTTGTGTGTCCCAGCAGGAAACAGAGAGAGAGGCTGTAGAGCTGGACCTGCTATAGGAGGCTCAAGATATTTTCAGGTTGACGTTACCTTTCAGACTGTAGTCAGGAGCACAGCATTTTATTCCCAGTGGAATAACAAACCCCTACCTCCACCTCCACCCCCAGCACCCCTGGCATCGTCCAGGGCTGGGCTGAGCTCCCCACTCCTAGTCACCTCCAGCCTTGGCAGGGAGAGAAGTAGGGAGCACATGAAGCTGACCCCATTCTTCCCTGCCGGCTGTCAACACACATCATCCACCCTGGGCAAGTGGCCACCTGCGGGGCGGTGAAGGGGCGGGGCTGAGGGCCCGTGTCCTCACCATTGGCACCCCCAAGTCATCTGCCCCTTCGGACGAGGTGACACAGCTCCTGGCAGCGGGCCTGGTGGGTGAGGTGTTTTCTCATGTAACTCTGATCGTACAAGATAAAGCCTGGCGTAGCCAAGTCCTCAGCAAGAAGGAAAGCAAACATAGCATTAAGACTCTGTCAACAAGGGTTTGGAAGGTAGGAGCCATCCAGGGCATACAAGTTCTGAGCCTGCCACCTCCTCTGAAACCCATCTTCGGCTCACCCCCTCCCCGAGAGGAAAGGAAAGGTCTTCCCACAGACACTGTGGCAGGAATTGTCAAGATGCCAGAAACCCCAGGCAAATTTGCCTAGTGGATAGAACAGCCTTCCCTTTGGGGGTTCATTCAACATTTCTGAATTTACAAAAAACAATAACAACAACAAACTCTAAATAACAGAAATTTTTGGAAAACAGTTACAAATATTAGAGCACAAGCTGAAGTGTGCATCCAGCAAGTGTACTTCTCTCAAGCCTACACTCATCCCAACTAGTCCAGAATCCACCCACCCCCCAGAGGTCCATCTACATTCTAGGAAGCCTACATAAAAAAAAAAAAAATTCTGGGGCACTTGGGTGGCTCAGTTGGTTAAGCATGACCTTCAGCTCAGGTCATGATCTCCAGGTCCTGGGATCAAGCCCCATGTCAGGCTTCCAGCTCAGCCAGGAGTCTGCTTCTCCCTCTCCCTCTGCCCCTCCCCCTGCTCATGCTCTCTCTCTCTCTCTCTCTCTCTCTCTCTCTCTCTCTCTCTAATGAATAAATAAAATCTTATTTAAATTTTTTTTCCAGGGACGCCTGGGTGGCTCAGCGGTTGAACATCTGCCTTCAGCCCAGGGCGTGATCCTGGGATCACGAGTCCTGCATCAGGCTTTCTCCTGCTTCTGTCTCTCCCTGTGTCCCTGCCTCAGTCTCTGTGTGCGTGTGTGTGTGTGTGTGTGTGTCTTTCATGAATGAATGGATAAAATCTTAAAAAAAAATTATTCCATAATTCCCAATGCCCTAATTTTTTTTAAAAAAGATTTTATTTATTTATTCATGAGAGACACAGGAAGAGAGGCAGAGACACAGGCAGAGGGAGAAGCAGGCTCCATGCAGGGAACCTGACATGGGACTCAATACCGGGTCTCCAGGATCACATCCTGGGATGAAGGCGGCGCTAAACCGCTGAGCCACCCGGGCTGCCCCCCAATGCCCTAATTACCATTTTTCCTGACAATCGATTTTTCCACATACACATGGGGTCTGGCTTATGATTATTTGCCTTTACCATGGTGCAAAGGTGATACACGTTCAGTAGAAACCGTACTTGGAATTTTGAATTTGGATCTTTTCCCGGGCTGGTGACACATAGTACGATCCTCTCTCATGATCCTGGGCAGTGGCATCTTGAGAGTCAACAGTCAATATGCTCAAACCATTCTATACCCGTACGACAGTCTGTTCTCGATTTCAGTATAGTACCTCATCAGTTACATGACATATTCAACACTTTTTTATAAAACATGCTCTGTGTTAAACGATTTTGCTAAATTGTAGGCTAATGTCAGTGTTATGAATACCTTTAAGGCAGGTTAGGAGAGGCTGTGATATTCAGGAGGTTAGTTGTATTCAATGCATTTTTGACTTAGAATATTTTCAACTGGGACACCTGGGTGGCTCATTGCTTGAGCGTCTGCCTTTGACCCAGGGCCTGATCCTGGAGACCCGGGATCGAGTCCCACATCGGGCTCCCTGCAGGGAGCCTGCTGCTCCTTCTGCCTGTGTCTCTGCCTCTCTCTCTGTCTCTCATGAATAAATAAAGTTAAAAAAAAAGAATATTTTCAACTTACCACGGGGTTATCAGGACGTAACCCTCTGTAAGTCGAGAAAGATCTGTAGGTATGATATTGCTTTTATTGAGTAACATTCTCTCATAAAAAAAAATCCTCTTTTTTCCATGTTGCCATAAAAAATCATTTCCTCATTTGTTATACAAGCAGTATCTGTTCCTTGCAAAAACATTACAAAATACATTTTAAACTAAAAATGTTTTTTTAATGCCCCAAGATCCTTCCACCCAAACATAATCACTTTAAATACTTTGGTTAATCTTATCCAAACTTTTTTTCTATGCACATGGTTACCTATACATCCATAGTTTGTTTTAAACAGAAATAATTCACCATCCTTCTTAACAGCTCTGCAGCCTTTTATTGTGTGCCTGTACGGTGGTCTGTCCCATGCTTCTGGCCTGTTGTACATTTAGGTTTTCTTGCTGTGGGCATCTGTATCTGTGCAGAGAAGCCAGGCAGTGAGGGTCTTGTCGCTATAAAGGGTGGTCCCCTTTCAAGCCCACCTGTGGTATCAGGTCCCCAGGTGAGCAAGGAAATGACAAACCAGGAGCACTGAGGTCCTCCAAGGTTCAGCATATTGGCCAAAGGCCAGATGAATGCTTGTTTCTCCTTTAAAAGGCCATTCAAAAAGAAAGCAGGTTTTTCTGCAGCTGTAGCCACATCTATGGTCTTGGGGTTCGTGGGCTTCGGGCTGGGATGGCAGGACAACGGGTAAGCTTCTGGGGTAGAGACCTAGGTCTGGTAGTGAAGGAACCGACGGACAGAACAGGTTTGGTAAGAACACCCACCACCACGTGCCATGCACGCCATGCACATTGCTGGGGGGCTGTCTTTGGGTTGCAAATGGTGAGGTGTTTTATCTAATCTGGCGAGTTTCTGAGGCAAGGGAGTCTTGCCTCATTGAGTCCGTCTCCCTGTGCAGTGTGGCATGTGGAGATGGTTTTTAAATGTTGTGCAAACAAACATCTTTCATCTCATCAGTAATTGTTTATGTTGAGGTGTATTAGAAAACATATAATTGGTGACATCGAACCTGTGATTTTGGGGACACTCTGGCTTAGGACAAAGCTAAAGTAGGTGTTTAAGTAAAAACAAGAGTGAGTCAACAGAAAGAAAGATGGGTACCCAGATACAGCCCACACCGTGAAGGCACCACTCAACGTGGGCCCTTGGGCAGTGAGCAGTTCATCCCCAGGAACAGAAAGCCAGCCGGCCATCCTCAGGTCCAGTTCTTGACCTGCCTTTGCTACCAGAGGCTTCTGTCTCCAGAGACGGCTTTTCAGACCTTCTTCACTCCTGCAGCATAAGCTGGATGGAGAACCTAGAAGGTACTGGAAACAAACAGTCAGCACAGGTGCATCATGAGTTCCTAAAACCTGCAAGCTGCTCTGGTCCAGTCACTTTTGAACATGGAAGTCCTGTCCTGCAACATGGTAAATGCCTCTGATGGCTTTGCACCTGCACCCTAAGTCAGGCATCTATTTTTGAAGTAAGATTTTTTAGATTTTTTAAAAAAGATTTTTTAAATTTATTCATTAGAGACCCAGAGAGAGAGGCAGAGACATAGGCGGAGGGAGAAGCAGCCTCGCCCCAGGTAGCCTGATGCGGGACTCGATCCTGGGACCCCAGGATCACACCCTGAGCCAAAGGCAGATGCTCAACCACTGAGCCACCCACGTGCCCCTGAAGTGAGATTTTTAAATAGATCTGTGTATCTGAGAGTTTCTTTAGACTCTGCATTATCACGTTAGCATACGAAGGGGCCCCGGGGCTCTCCTGACCATTATTGCGGGTGGGGAGGGAGGAAAGCAGGTGTAAGCAGCCGTTCTTGGGGCCATGGATGCCTTGTTAGCACCAAGAGCAGCAGTCCACCACAAGTGTGCACAAAGCGTTCCCTCCCAAATGCCTCTCTCTTTCGGATGCTGTGATTGCTTTTCTGCGGTGCCTGAGAGGCAAGGGCATATGGTGTGAGAGCTCTGAGCAGAGGGGTCTGCAGGGCTCCAGGCCTCCATGGAGCTGGCTGGGGGTGGCAGGGGTGGGGTGAGGAGGACCCCAGTTACGGCGTCACATCTGGAGACCAGACCGGGTTTTCCAAGGACTCCAGTGCACGGTCCCTGCAAGGTGTGGCCGGGGTTCTTTCCAGCAGCAGCAGCAGCAGCAGCTCTGAGCACTTATCTGACGCCATTACTCATCTTTCATCCCAGGACCAGCCAGACTGGCACAGCAAGGCCGCTTGGAGCTGCCAGGTGGACAGGATGGAGCCTGGCACCAGGTTAGGGTGGAGGTGGCGGCGGGCCCTGGCCCCACATGCTTTGCCCACCCCCACGCCAGCTTCTCTGGGGGTCACTGCTCTGTTCTGCGCCCTCCTGGGCTCTGTTCAGTGCCTGCAACGTTGGCTCCAGTGGGCTCTGCTCTTCCCAACACCCCAGATCACAAGGTTCATGTTCTAATTGGCCTCTTCAGGCCTCTAATTGGTTTCATCTTGCTTGGGGACAAAGGGAGAGTGCTGGCACGTGAGTCATCTGCAGGATGTCCTAGGAGGTGTGGGGAGAAGAGTGCATGGGCTGGGCTGGGGTCCCCAGTCCCGCCGCCTGACGGATGCAGCCAGCCTTCCCCAGGGAGCTCACAGCTGTGCTTTCCCAAGATGGCTTAGAATTAGCACAGCAGGAAGGGATTCCGTATTGCAGGTCTGGGTTTGGCCTCTCCACCTACATCCTTGACTGGATGATGCCACTGGCTGCGTGAGGGTTGGGATGAATCCACCACCACAAGATCTGGGATAAGCGAAGAGCTTTATAGGAAAACTCAAAGGCCAGAGTCAGCAGCACAGAGATGTTTTTGATCTCTGAGGCTCCCCATCATCCTGCAGGGAGGCATGCTGGGGCCAGGGCACCTGCTGAAGTGGTGAGGGCTCCATTCCAGAGGAGGGACCCCCAACCCCCTGGGTCTTCCTTCATATGGGACAAGTGTGGCATGTGACCTTCTCAGTGGCTGTGTACATGGCTGCTGGTGCCCACCAGACTGGGTTTAGGTGCAGCTATTTATAGAAGTCTGGAAAGCCAGTTGCCAGCTGATGGAGACCATGGGATTTCCCTGCCAGGGAAGGACCCAGTCCCACAAGAAGTAGTCTGGGTGCCACTTTTCCAGTGGGTAATTTCTCCACGAATGACAATCCCAGTAACCTAGGGTGAATACCCAGGGTCATTTTGAATAATTCTGCTCCTTAAAATAATAATGACAGTGTTAATAATCACAGCTACCATGTTTCAAGACCTACTATGAGACGGGCACTGTGCAAAGTGCTTCCCACACATTATCTCATTGAATCCTGCCAACAACCTAGGGGGCATAGGTACTGTTAGCCCCATTTTACAGAAGAGAAAATTAAGACTTGGAAGGCCAACATATTGTTGTCAAGAATGGGGGCCCTCCCCTGGGGAGATAGCAGAGCCAGGCCCTAACTGGGGGTCTGACTGCCCTAACATAGGCCAAGCCCTATGCCATCCACCCCCTGATGGAAACATCCAGCATTTGCTGACCTGGCCAGGGCTGTGGGATGCGCTTATCTGTGCCACGGATGAGAATTCCTGACTGCCCTTTGAGGGTGCTCCGTGCCCAGTGGAATCCACCATCACCCCACCACAGAATGAAGCTTTGGGACACCTACCCACATACCCCCATGCCACCCCCAGATGCCACCCCTCAATGTGGAGCAGTAACCCCCAAGGACATCTCTACACAGTGCAGGAGTTGGGATAGAGGGATAGATGCATAGAGGGAGAGGGGAGTGCCCCCCTCCATGGCCCCACCACAAAGCTGTGCTTTTCCCCAAAGCTCGGCCAGTATGCCTGGTGTTACAAAACATTTTAATCCCTGTGCATCTAATGGCTGCCGAACAGAGTTTTTTGATCAAACTCCCATCTGCATAAATTCTCAAATCTAATGGCTCTTTTTAACTTTTTGCTTCTATCTCCTGTGGGCATGTAGGCTACCTATATAAAGGCCGGGCTTGATTTATTTCTTTACTCTTTGTTTATTGCGGCATGCTCGGTGCCTAAACAGTGCTGAGCATACAGTTGGGGTTTAGTAAATATTTGTAAGTGAATAGATGAAACATTGACACGATCCCAAATACAGAAGGTACAGAAGGAGTAACACATTTCAAAAGCCTCCTTCCCTGCCTGTGCCCCCAGCCACCCAGGTCTCCTTCTCGAAGGCAATTCATGTTACTGCTTTCCTAGGCAGCCTCTCCAGGATAGGCTCTGTGCCCACAAGTAAATGCCTTTATACTTCTATTTCCACTTTTTTTTTTTTTACACAAATGCGCACGGGCTTTATATACTCTAATTCCCTCAGTTTTCTCTAACTGGTATACCTTGGGAGCATTCTCTGTCTCTGATCAGAGACTATTCAGTGGTCTCAAATAAGATGACCGTGTCTCCCCTCCTGGAGGAGCCACTTACTTATCCTCTCCATTAGTCACACTGAGTGTAACTTTATGGGAGGACCCCTAGATGTTGGTGTGCCGTAGCCTTGGGCAAATGAGGTGCGTGTGTACTCGTGGAGGAGGCGGCTGTACCCATTGATTGCTACACTGCAAACTTCCCCAACACCCACCAGAGTGGGGTCAAGAAGTCAGGTGTCCCATCAAGTCTGTTGGTAGAAGTGGCTGGAAACCAGGTGACCTGGTTTCTATATCCAGATCTGCCTCTGACTCACTCTGACGGTGGATAAGTCCCTCTGGCTCTAGTTGAGCCCTCTCTGTGAAATGGGCATAATTACAACTACCCCAACCTACTTAAAAGGAGGGCATGAGGATACATGACAAAATGCTTCAGCCAGGTAAGAAACCTACAGAGAATTTTCTAAAGGATGATAAGCAAGATGATTTTTTTTAAATATTTTATTTATTTATTCATGAAAGACAGAGAGAGAGAGAGAGAGAGAGAGAGAGAAAGAGGCACAGAGACACAGGCAGCGGGAGACGCAGGCTCCATGCAAGGAGCCCAATGTGGGACTCGATCCCGGGACCCTAGGATCATGCCCTAGGCTGAAGGCAAGTGCTAAACCACTGAGCCACCCAGGGATTCCCCAAAGCAAGATGATTTTAAGTTCCTCTTTTAAAGAGGGACTCATAAATAAATAAATAAATAAATAAATAAATAAATACTCACTCTTTTTTTAAATAATTAAATTATTTTACTAGGCATTAGGAAAATAGGGCTAACACATCAAACATTTCACAGATATGGTGTTGCTGAGGGCTCATAGTATTGCTTAGGACAAAGCTGAATGTTTTTAAGCAAAAAAAAAAAAAGGGAGTTCGGTGGTGTTATACATTAAATGAATAATGATACAGGTGCTCCAGCAAGTCAGCGAAAATTGTGAGTATGCAAAGGACTGGTGTTTGGGAAACATTGAATTAACAAGTGGGAGGAAAGTAAAATCAAACTTACAAATACTTATCTGAGGGATGCCTGGGTGGCTCAGCGGTTGAGCCTCTGCCTTCAGCAGCTCAGGGTGTGATCCCTGGGTCTGGGGATTGAGTCCCTCATAGGGCTCCCTGTGAGAAGCCTGCTTCTCCCTCTGCCTGTGTCTCTGCCTCTTCTCTCTCTGTGTATCTCTCATGAACAAATAAAGAAAATCCTGTAAAAAAAAAAACTTATCTGAAGCCCATTTTAAGGATGTCTTCAATCAGATGTCAATAAACTTTATTAATAGTTTAGGTTTTACTGGCCCCATTTGCAGCATATTCCTTTTTTTTTTTTTTTTTTTTTTAATTTTTTTATTTTTATTTTATGATAGTCACAGAGAGAGAGAGAGAGGCAGAGACACAGGCAGAGGGAGAAGCAGGCTCCATGCACCGGGAGCCCGATGTGGGATTCGATCCTGGGTCTCCATGATCGCGCCCTGGGCCAAAGGCAGGCGCCAAACCGCTGCGCCACCCAGGGATCCCTCCTTTTTTTTTTTTAACAATTCTTTAAAAATGTAAAAATATTTCTTAGCCTCTGGTTTCACACAAAAACAGGCCTTGGGCTAGATTTTGAGCTGAGATTTGTAGGTTCTTGTAGTAAATTAAGGAGCTTATGGAACATAGTAGCTGCCAGTGCCCCCAATACAGGTAAAACAACCTAAATGGGATCCATGTATTAATGATTCTTATTTATTTATTAAAAAAATCTAAATGTATTCATTTGAGGTAGAGAGAGAGAGAGAGAGAGAGAGAGAGCATGAGCAGGGGGGAGATGCAGAGGGAAAGGGAGAAGCCGACTCCTCGCTGAGTCAGGAGTCCGATGCAGGGCTGGATCCCAGGACCCTAAGATCATGACCTAAGCCAAAGGCAGAGGCTTAACCATCTGAGCCACCCAGACACCCCTTATTTATTTATTTTAGGATTTTATTTATTTGAGAGAGAGAACATGAGCAAGGGGAGGAGCAGAGGGCCAAGCAGACTCCCTGCTGAGCACAGAGCGTGACCCTGGGGCTCCATCCCAGGAACCTGAGATCATGACCTGAGCCGAAGTCAGACACTTAACCAACTGAGCCACCAGGCACCCAGACCCTTATCTATTAATAACGTTAATGTTCTACTTATTTCCCTGCCTTTCCAGTGTTGTAATGGACTCATGGATTTTTATGCATTTAATATGTTTCAATTAATTGCATAGTTTTTTAAAGATGCTCAAATTCTCCCATCATTGCCAGTGAGGACCCCTTCAAGAGTCCTCAACTGACCCCAGTCTTTGATGCCTTCCTTTGCTTTGGGTATGACACGATATCCCAGGCTCAGCCTCTACATTTCCTGCACCAAAACTGGTATCAGCCATTTTTCCAAGAAGCCCTGGTTCCTTTTAGTTGGTAATGATATTTAGAGACAAAAATCTAGGTGCCTAGAATGCATGTAATATTTGCATTTATAAATAGAAATGATGCCCAGGGTATGTCCTGGTCCCTGGAGACATTCCGACCCCCCCTCTAAAAAAATCCCTCTTAGCCATCTCCAGCCTGCCGTGCTGATCCCCATCCATGACTCGGATCCTGGCCAGGTGCTTGGAAACAATGAGTCAGTCATGTTCTGATGCTGCCTGCCCTGGCAGAGGCAGAAACATGAGAGATTTTCCAATAACCAGAGTCCAATCCATTTTCAGGCTAACCTTCAATTAACCATAAAAATCCCGCTACCCAGAACTCTTATTCCCTCATAACCTTAGATAATTGAGGTTTTACTGCAAAAATAAGTACAGGGGATTTTAATGAAAGCATCTGACCTAC